GGGGTGAATACAGAGGGGTGGGGGGGAGGGCCGAAGCAAGGCAAGCAGCTGCAATTTGGCTGTGATGTGTGCACTTGACACCCCCACGGAATGTGCACATGCCGGATGTCAATAAGAGAGCAGCTCCTTCCTCTTCTGCCATCGGGAAAGGCCTTGCGCTGCCTCGACTGCCTGCTCGCTCCTCGTCCCCCCCCCTCCCCGCCCCGCCCCGCCCCTGTCCTTTTTGCCGGGCGTGCTTCTCTCCTCTATGCGTGCATTTAGATGAATGCAGTCGCTCCTTTTTTGACAAGCGATGCGCTCATGGGAGGGTGCACACAGCAGGACCGAAATCACACTACCGGAGCTGAGGGGGGGGGGGGGGGGCAGGTGCAGAAACACCGCATGTGGCGGGGGGGGGGGGGGGGGGGGGGGAGGCGCGAGGAGTCGCTTCGCAAACAGCCAGGGTGTTGAACAAGAGGGCCCCGAGGAAAATTGTGTGTCTTTCACATGCGAAGCTGTGTAATGCCCCCGCGAGCAGCACCGGCCACGAGGAAAGCGAGCGAGGAAAGGCGAGGAGAGGGCACATGGGGAGAGCGAGACAAGCCGGGAAGAGGGGGCGGCCATTGGAGGAGATGTGTGTCTGACCAGGAAGAAGCGCCATGCATGACGCCTGGCTGGGCATTTCTTCTGGGCCATTTTTTCGGGGGAGGGTGGGGGAAGGGCGGGACGCCGGAGAGGGGGAGAGAAGGGGCGCGGATCAGTGGATGCGCGGCTCGGAATGGATGGGGAGGGGATGGGGAGGGGATGGGGAGGGGATGGGGAGGGGAGGGGGAAGAGAGGAGAGCAAAGCCGTGATGCTCGCGAAAAGGCGAGGCACATCCGGCCGGGAGAAACTTAGGACCGTGCCCCAGGCTTCTCTCTCTCTCTCTCTCTCTCTCTCTCTCGCCACCGGGGCACACTGGTGGCCCTGAGTGCCCTCATCCGCGCCCCCACCCCCTCCGGCTGCCTTTCCTCCCCGCCCTACTCGATGCCGCTCGCCCGCGTGCACACAGGCACAAAGGCAAGGGAGCAAGCGAGTGGAGCAGCACGTGGTGCTGGGAGGAGAGCACGAGGGAGGGGGGGAGGGGGGGGGGGCAAGCGGCAATGACGGGGCATGTGTGTG